TAGTATTTGACTCAAAAGCAATTTTACACCAAAGTATGAAACTCATGTATCAGTGATTCCTCACCCCATTGTGAAAAACATTGTAGACCCCCCAAGTCTAAACCAAAAGGAGCAAAAAGACACATGAATTATCAAAATTAGTGGGGCTACTTGGAGGACAATCCTCTTCTTCTTGTGAATGAAAGTGCTCAAAGGCTAATTCTGTTATGTGGGAAAATTGCTTAACATTTTCTCTTGAAGTCTTAAGACCACCTTGGAAGTTATGGTGAGTTTCCAGCATTGCATCTGTAGATAGGAACAAGTTCACTGACCAACCATCCAAACTAGGGAATCACATGGTAAGACTCTTGGTATAATTCCAGATCAAGGCTTAGCCTTGTATGAAATTAGACTTTAACCAAAGGTGGAAGTTTTTTTCTGTGCTGTTATTCTGTAGAAATAGACTGTTATTCTGTGTAAATGTTGCCTAACATTCTCTGCTTCTACAAAGCCTTCACATGTGGTGCCAATATGGCAGGAAGTGATAAAGACGTGGCTATGCCTACTCTGGTATCTTCCCACACAGTTAGATCAAACATTGAAATGTTTTCTTTAGGTCCCATTCGTAATACAAATAAAATAGTATATATATATATGTATTATTTTTTCCTCCTCTTTAAAAAGAAAAATCTCCTTGATCCTGGTTTAGCAAAGGAAAAGGGTCAGGGAGGTTGTACAAGGAAGAAGGCATTCATCAAAGATTTAAAGCTCCATCCACAGAAGGAAAACAGGAAAATGGATGAATTCTGACAGAATTCTGTCAGGCTAAAAAAGTTTTTCATGGAAAAACTTGTAAAACTGATTTTAAAAATCTAAAAAAACCCCCAGTTTTTCCAGAAAAAAAGAGCCTTATCAGAAGCCATTGAGCAAATAGACGAATAAATTATTTTAAAGGATTTGCTAAAGGAGGTAAGATGACAGTAGAAAGTGTCAGTGAGTACTTGGTGCTACAGATGCTCTAAAGGGTATTGTGCTGAGACTTTTCTTCAAGAGGAACGAGAGGGAAGATCACTCTCAAAATGAAGTGTGAGTCAAAGGGCTTAGAGAAGAAGTCAGCATCACATTGTTAGATTAGGACAAAAGCATAAGAAGCCCCAAGATAAGAGGAGGATCCTCACATGGATAAATACTTACAAGCAGTTTGAGATAATAGAAGCCAAAGATGACTGTGAGGGAGTACATTCTTGGTAACAGTCAGTGACTGAATGATAAATTAGCAGTTGAAATGCCAGTTTCATGTCAAATTTACACAAATGTAAAGTTGCACACATGACAAAGAAAAATCCTAACATACTGTTGTGTTGGATTTGATGGCTGGACATTTTACTCTGACCCAGTGTAGCCTTTATGTGCCTGTATTTTGCTGCTGCCATGTGATAGATTTAAAAAAAAAAATCTGTCTGGTATAAAAATGCTTGACCTGGGAGGCTGCATCATCTGAGCATGACAGAACTCCACTTGTCCTCTGGAACACAGAAGACACCACCTGCAGGACAGAATCTCTTCTGAAACCACTTCTGCTGACAAACTGCATAAGCAGTTCAGTGTAGGGATCCAGCAACGTGAGAGTGTAAGGAAACCCAGCAATCCAGCATTGGCAAGAATAACTGCCTGTGAGTTGATAAAAGTGTTAGCAGAACCTGACTCAGTGTTATGAGGAAGAGAGGAGAGCATTAAAGGCTGAAATGATAGTGGTTTTCTAGGACTTCCTTAGAGAGACTGGCTGCAATGGTCAGCTAAACTAATATTCAGAAACAAAACCTCTAAAGCCTGCCACATTCAGATGCTGCTCTAAGCAGAGAAAACAGGCAATAGGGCTTTTACAGCTCTGTACACAGCAACACTAAAGCAGGGTCTTTCCTGAAGAATATAATGTCAAATTTTAAATATGGGAAAGTAAGCCTTGGGTTTTCCCAGCTTCTGGGAAAATGGCCTAACAGAGTCAACATTAAGAACAACATAGAACTATAGAATTGTTTTGGTTGGAAAAGACCTCTAAGATCATTGTAGAATCAAAGAACAGATGGGGTGAAGGTTGGAAGGGACCTTAAAGATCATCAGGTTCCAGCCTCCTGGCTATGAGAACGGACACCTCACACTAGACCAGGCTGCACAAAGCCTCATCCAACCTGGCCTTGAACACCTTCAGGGAGGGGGCATCCACAGCCTCCCTGGGCAACATATACCAGCACCTTACTACCCTCATGGTGAGGAATTTCTTCTTTGTGTAACCTAAATCTCCCTTCTTTCAGTTTAAAACCATTACCCCTTGTCCTATCACTACCCTCTCTCATGAAAAGCCCCTTCCCAGCTTTCCTGTAGCCACTTCAGGTACTGGAAAGCAGCTAAAAGGTCTCCCTGGAGCCTCCTCTTCTTCAGGCTGAACAGCCCCAACTCTCTCAGTCTGTCTTCATAGCAGAGCTGCTCCAGCCCTCTGATCATCCTGGTGGCCCTTCTCTGTACCATGTTGAGCAACTCCATGTCTTTCCTGTGCTGAGAGCTCCAGAGCTGTATGCAGTACTTCAGGTGGGGTCTCACACATGCATCATGTCATCTTGTGTAGGTACTTCTTCATAGATCTGAGAACCTTCCAATGTTCCAAATAATCTAGGCCTCCTCAGGCTGCTTTCTCAAACTGTATCACACATCCTAGTGGGAACTGTACATGCCGTTGGAAAGGACAAAAACTTCTTCCCAGACTAGTCCCTTTCTCTTCTGATAATCTGAGTAGTTCTCAGATTCCTTGGTCTGCAGTATTGGTGCACCAGAAGCTGAGAAACACATTGCTACATCAATATAAAATGTGAATATAATCAAAGTGGGTTACATTCCTTCACCATAAGAAGACCTAAACACCCCCCTTTAGCTACTACACCTTCGTTCTTTCTCCTTTGAATAAGAATCACAATTTATGATGCTTTCTGACTACAAAGTACTCCTCTTGGGATTCATAAGAGACAAAAGACCCTTCCAGTCAGTGAAACAGAAAATGAAGAACTGGCCCTAAAGGACATTATCCCTTTTCCTACCTCAGAGGGACCACCAAAACATGAGTTGCCTGAGTTACTCATCTTACTGGCCTTCCTTGTATTTCCCCAAGCCCTGGCCTAAGGCTGTGTATTAGCTGGAGAATGCATCAGGAAAATAAAAATAAAACAGCTGAGCTGGCTCAATCTGACAGTTCAGCACTGAAAAGAAATGATCTTCTGAGTCAAGTTACTCCCAAGTGGAAGAGGCATGTGTTACACAGTAGTTATCTAGGCAACTGTACCAGTACTTAGTACAATTCCAGGTCTTCCAATTGCTTTAAGTGTGTAAATGAGTATCATTTTTTCACAGCAGGGACTTAGAAAGGCTTACCAACTGACCAGCTTTGAGAAGAGCCATTTAGAGAAATAGTTAGATAAATATTTAGGTTGGAATATACTTCTGAAGGTAACTGAGTCCAATCTCTCACTTCAAGTGCAGCCAACTTCAATGCGAGATCCAGTTGCTTGTCCAGTTGTGTTTTGAATATATCCGAGGATGAAGAGTTCACAGCCTCTTTGGACACCTGTTCCAGCAACCATCTAACCACTCCTGGAAATAATTCTTTTTCCTGATATCAAATTGGATTTTTTTTGCTGCAACTTGTGACTCTTACCTCTCATCCTCACAATGTGCAACTCCCAGACAAGCCTGTTCTGCCTCCTTAGTGGAAGATACTGGTGTATCCTGTCAGCTTCTACTCTCTGGGCTGAAAAATCCCATTTCATTTAGACCCTCATAATCACCTGGGTGTCCTGCTGCTAAACTTAGCCAGTTTGTCTGTCTTTCTTGCACTAGGAAGCCAAAATCTGGATACGAAACTGCATGTGCAGACTCATGAGTGCTGAGTAGAGGGAATATTCAGTGCCTTTGATCTGCTGGGTCCACAACTCTCAGTATAGCCTAGTATGTGGGTAGTTTTCATTACCATAAAGAAGCACATCTGATTTGTGTTCAGTTTGCTGCCTGCCAGAACCTCAGAGCTAAGGCTGCATTTGATGCCATTGTCCAAGTTACTGTCAATATGAAATGCACTGAGTCTCAGCATCGATCCTTGAGGAACATCCCTCATAACCAGTCACTGAATTCAACAACAGCCTGGACTGTTTTCCCAGTGCCTAGTCCTAATCCTATAGCTCTGAAAAATTATTGTCCAGCCAAGTAGTAAAGGCCTCTGTTTGAATAAAAGTTCACAGAGATTAACTAAGTCATACACTCAATATTTTAAAATATTAAGATGTTACAGAGAAATGAAAGTAGTAACAAGGCAAGTGAGCAGGAAGAACATGCATTGCTAGATACCAACAGAAGTAAATTTTCTGCTGATCTAAAGTCAATGGTGGCTAGTCTCTTAATTTGTATGTAACACACTTAAGCTGTAGGATTAGTTAGGGTTTTAGACATACTTCTGTCTTTTGAGATTCCTCCTTGATTACTTCTCAATGTCACATCCTGTTTCCAATCCCATTCCCAAATTTTTAGTTGTTGTGCACTTTCAGAAAACAGAGGAAACTGACTATGAATAGGCTTGTTCTTGACAACGGCATTCAGGTACCAGAATTTTTTATTATGATTATTATTAGTCTCAATACACTCCTTCTTTTTCTTTTTAATACGAGACGAACATTATTTTTTCCTTCAACAAATTAAAATGTAACCAAAACTTCTTGACCAAAGTATTTAAATCATATTCACAAATTGAAAGACACCCAGGAAGGACAAGTTATCCAAATAGCTGAAGTTAGCCAGAATTAAAAGCAAATACAATGACATTTAAAAAAATTATGTGAGCTATTCTCTCTGGGCTGCACTTCTGCTTTTGCCAAGAAAAGGAAGAAAGTGAAGAAGACCTATATATTATTCCATACTTTTCAGATATATTTATATACAGCTGCCTGAGCCAAAGTAAGTTCAAATTTCTCAGGTTTTCTTGGTTATTTCACTATGTCAGCAACTAATATTATATCTTCATTTTCAGATGTTAATGACTGAATTTTGCTCTCCATTATCTGAAAGGAAAAGAAATGCTTCAATTAGTTTTATGCATATGGTTAGGTTACCCTCTCCTTGCTTATGCACAATCCTGTAGGTATTTAAAATTTTGTTACGTATTTATAGAAATACTTCCTGACTTTGTTTCTTAGCTGAAAAGCTTTCCTTAACTGGACATAGCTTTGTAATGCTGACACATGATTTTTGATTGGCCTGAAATATATGAATGTAGATGAGTAGATAATGGCCTGAAATTTAGCTAATTGAAAAGACCATGGAAAACTACTGGACATAACTTGAGGAATTGCTGGACAAAAAAGGGCACAAGTGAGCTGCTGGTTGATACGCTGATCTCATCAAAAACTGTGTCTTACCATCACAGTCTGTTCTGTTAGCTCACAAAATCCTTTTTCAGTTGTGTTTTATAACATCTTTATTTCTGTCTATCCTGTGTGTGTAACTTGCTAGTGAACTTCACTGAAGATGGACTAGTGGGTGAGTAAGAGAAGAGCTGCACCTTCAAAGATGCAAGGAGAGAGCTGGAGACCTGGCAGGGGGGAACTCAGGATCCAGATACCAAGATAAAATGTGAGGAACTTGTGAATTTATGGTTATTGTGAAGGCAGAGAGTGAAGGTGTATGCAAGTCTCACTGGCAAACTTCAGCCCTGCTCAGCCAGAGAGGAGCAACAGGCTGTCTGCAGTCCTATTGATGTGACTGCTGGTGGTGTTGATGTGGTGCCAGCAAAGGCCCCCATGCTGGTCTGGGTGGCTTGGCTGCATTAGTGTCCTCAGTGTGTGTGTTTCTGCATATGTGTGCCTCGTGTTGGGAGAACACACAGCCCTTGCTGCTGTCTGAACCTACCAGTGGCAACATCAGCCCCTGTACCTCTTAAATGGCAGTAACCTCCCTGAGATTGGAAGAGCACTGCATTTGATTGCCCTTAACAAAGTTGCCTGCTGATTTTCTCTTGTAATTCCTCAAAATATGGCAAAGAGTTTTCTACGTGTTAAATTCCTTATAATTTAAGCAATACCTGCAATACAGTCTTGTATGTATTTCCCAAATGTAATATAAATCAGAAAGCGAAGATACCTCTGGATTTGTGTCAGGCAGTCCACAAAATGCATTTTTTGGCTCTGGGATTTGTAGAAATGCTGCTGTCCAACAGCCAGTCCTGGAGATCAAAAGGGATGGGATAGAAAAAACACAATGAAGTAACCATCAAATCATTGCATCCTTGAACTAGCTTTCATCTTCTTCTTCCTGGATGGAAGAGAAATGAAAAATATATATAATCTCAGCACAGAATGAACACAAATAAGGAAAACACCAGGATTTTGGATGGTAATGGTTTCATTTTGGTTAAAGATTCACTAGTAGTTATTTTATTCTTTGAAAGGGAACTAATTGTTCTGCTTTTTAAATGAAAAGTGGGTGTAAAATTTGAACAAGTTGGAGGAAGAGTATCTTCTCTGAATTACTATATATTTCTGTACAAAGTGCATGATGTAGAATATCCCTTCTCTTTCACTTACATGGTTTATTTCAAGAAGTTAGCTGCTGAGCTTATGTGCTTTCAGATGCATTCATTTTGCTAGGGTAATTCTAGTGAACGTTGCAAAACCTTTACCAGTAAGTGAAACCAGCCTGGATCTTTGCAATGAATTCAGCAGTTCAAGATATCAGAAAACCTTTTGTGTAGACAGTCTACATTGCAAATATTCAGAGCAGCTGTACTGTTAATATAATTAATTGTATGTAATTGCTCTCCTTGCCACATTACAGAAGAGATCCTGGAAAAAGTTGTATGGATCAGCTGGGGAGGGAACTCAGATATCACTATTATAGCACTTGCCTCTGGATCACCTATTTGGATTGATTTCTCCTACAGTGTAAATAAAAAAAGTTTTATCTGTCCTATAGAGACACCTCTACCTTATTTGTTTAAGAATTACAGTTGTTTCACATACCCATACAAAGCAAAATAAAATAAAATAAATAAATTAAGTTTACCTTTTGCAGAACAAAACTGCAATGATTACCACTACGAGGGTCACAACTGCTACCACAAGTAAAATCCATACTGAAGAAGAAATAATTTCTTCATTTCCTGAAAGAAAAATGGTCATGAGGTATTATTATTAATAAAGAGGAACAGATGCAGAGCTGTGTCACACAACTGTTGTGCTTATTGACTGGTGATTATCAGTCTGAAAGGTTGCTCTTGGTATAAAAATCACTTTCTTCATTTAGCACTTTAGCAGTAACATCTGCTGAGAAGGATTGACATTGAGCCTGGTTTCCTTCCCCTGCAGCAAGCAGGGATGCACTTAAACTGCAAATGTGCAACTTTTGGTATTGATTTCCAGTGTCAGACTCTTAAGGAATGATTCTCTTCCTCCACTTCTTCTCAGGAATGTGGAAGGAAACAAAATGTTTGCCAAGCCTTTACATACCCATGTGTCCACAGACAGACAGCAATGTGTAAGGTAGAGAGGACAGCTCTGGGGGAAACATAGCCCAAGGTGTGGATTTTCACTCTTACCAAACTCTAGAGGTGCACTCCACTCTCCCCAGGCTGCGTTCATGAGGCAGGCACTGCCAGCTGTTCTCATTTTCAAGAGGTATTTCTTTCTTGTATTGGATCTTTGAAATATGTGATTATTCCCCCCTTCCTAAAAAAGAAAGCAAAACTGAGTTGTTTTTCTTTGCTGCACGTCTGGGTGTTCATAACATGCTAGTGCCATTTACCAGTGAAACTTCTACCAGGCCAGAAGAGCATTGCTTTTTAAAGCAGACTGCTGTTGCAAAGCAATAAATAAGCAGATGCATGTTTATTATATAAATAATAGGTACATATCTGTTCATCTCCATTTAAAAAAATAACCTGTCTCTCGTTAAATGTTTAATGTTTAGAATATTTTAATCTTTTAAACTATATCCTGCAATTTCATACAATATAGTCTTATCTAATGATAATTTCCCTCGGCACATCAACAGAGGCAGAAAAAAATATCTTGAATTGTCTCATTTCAATGCTGCTATAATTGAGCAATTTGAAGAATAAACTGCATGCACCTAACCTTCCTCAGTCTTTGCATTATGGCTTTTCAGGGAAAGCATAACTTTCCAGCCAAACCTGCAAAACAAGTAGAGGACTTCAGTACTTAATGTTTCAACAATTTACTGCACCATGCTTGGTTGCTTTTGGATACTTTTTCAGGTGTGCTGGTTTGGTCTGGTGGGATTTTTGGTAGTGGGGGAAGGGCCCCAGGGGTGGCTGAGAAGCTGAGAAGTTTCCCCTGCTCCAAACCCAGCCAAGGAGCCATTTATGAGAAAACAGATGTGCCTCTGCCATTAAAATATGAAAGAACTGGGATAACACCTGAGCAGAGGAACAGTTAGGGAAGAAGATTAGAGACAGAGAGGTGAAAGGCAGTGCTGGGGTAAAGATCCTGAGTAGTTGGTGAGGAGGAAGGGGCAGAAGGTGCCCCAGCAGCAGTTTCCCTGCAGCCCATGGCGAGATGGCAGCTGTGCCCCTGCACTCATGGAGGAACGTGGTGGGACATTCCCTGAAGGCGCCAGGAGGGGGGAACTTGGCCCCTGGACTTGGATGTTGTGGCCAGAGGATTTGCTGCCAGTGGGCTCTGATTGCTCAGCTGTGGAAGCCCCCGGGCCAGGGGAGGTGGCTGTTCCCGAAGCCCCCGTGACTCTGTGGGAAGCCCAGGCTGGAGCAGCTCCGGGCCTGGTGGGAAGGGCTCAGGAAGGAGAGGTTGGTGGAGGCCTCTGTGCCATGGGAGGGACCCCGTGGGGAAGCAGGGCAGGACTGTCAGGAATCCTTCTTGCTGAGGAGGCAGGAGCAGCAGGAACCCCCAGCCTGTGAAGTGACTCTAAACCCCATCCCCTGTCCCCCTGTGCTGCTGGGGGGAAGGAGGGAGAGAAACCGGGAACCAAGGGATTGGGGCCCGGGAAGAAGGGAGGGGTGGGGTAACATCTGCAAGCCCTGCTCTGGGTGTGTCTGTGTCCTGGGGGGTGTGATTAGTGTGGAATTACAGTATTATTTTCCCCAAGCTGAGTCTGTTTTGCCCGGGCCCTTAATTGGTGAAGATCCCTCCTTGTCCTTTGTCTGGACCCAGGACCTTCTAGTTGGGCTTTGTCCTCCTCATCCCAGAGTGTGTGAGGGGGGAGTTGAGTGAGAGGCCATGGGGCTGGTTCTTTGTTGTCGTGTTGGGCCTAAACCAGGACATGTGGATAAAGCCTGGAAGTGCAAGCTGCACTGATGAGGAGGTGCAGCATACCTGGAGGACAGCCTCCAGCCCAAAGGATCCCAAAGCATCCCACAGGGCTTTTATGGTCTTAGTTTTTAATTTTAAATAAATACATTTTTAGGAGGTGTTTTCTCTGATGTCACGGATATTATAACTTCAAATTGTGAAATAAATTTTTGAGGAGGAAATTCAACAAAATAATGCAAAATGGAAGGTTTTTCACAATGCTAACAGAATAGTAATAAAGTTCTGTCCTTGAATGTATAATAAATGACATATATCTTGTTGATTTACCATTTGATACATTAATGAAATTTATAAATAAGGATCCTGTAAAGCACACATTGAACACATACTGATTAAAGGCACTTGCATGATGTTTGCTTTTCACATATCAACCAGGCTTACTTGTATAGAAGTATATTTGGTTCTTCCCTCAGGATTAGCCTGTACATTGAGAAAAAAAAGCAACAAAAAAAACCCAATTACTTTGTGTTTCAATAATAAGCCATTTTTATCTATTGTCCCTTTTTTTTATGTGCTACTCTTTCTTAGATACTTGACAGTTTTTCAGAAGAACTAGTAATTTATCCAACATTTAGTATCTAATATATAATTCATCCACAATGCCACGTTTACATAGTAAGCAATTCTATGGATAAGTATTTGTTTTCCTTACCACTAGAGTTGATAAATAGGTTATATTTCAGATTGGAAACACAAATGGAAACACAAGCAAAGTACACCTGAATGAAAACTGTAACACACATTCTTACACACTCCAGGAAGAAAAAAGATCAAAATCTGTGAGATAAAATTTTTAGTTAACATCTAGTGTTTATATTTTACAATAAATGTCATTATATTTAATTAGAAAGACTATCTAAATAGTTTCCTTTTCTCTCAGATTAAAATATTCAGTATTTACATGCATTCACACATATTTTAGGCTTCCCTACAACTACATTTTTGATACACAGAATAAAATTCACTCATCTCTTCTGAATAGACATAATGACTATGATGTAATGTAGTGGCCACATACAACTAATGACTGCAGATTCATCTCCATTAGCCTGCCAGTTACCTATTTTTCAAATTATTTTGAATTCTGTTACTCCATTTTTAAACAAATTATATTAATCCAAACCTATTGTATAAAATAACTGTGTGCATCCTCACATGGCACCTGAGCATGAGTTTGCAAGATATGCTGCTGTATAGGACAACTTCTAGAATTTATAAACTAGCACAGGGATTAGTTTAGGAAAAAGTGAAGGAGTATCCCCTGTTTTGGTCTGTCTTGTTAAAAATATTATGTAGGAAAGCAGGGAGGTCATGGCAGCCTTCAGAAAGTAGAGGTCCAGAACAGCTGGTCTTTTGCAAGTTTTGGAAGAAGAGATGTGTAAAAGGACACTGTGTTTAAAAAAAATGAAGGAGAAAATTTGTATGACAGTTAAAAGAGACTCCCTCCCACAGGGTTTAGTGGCACCATTCTGTTAATTTGACCTGATGGAGGTCTGCTGCTTGCCAGGGGCCAGTTTCCAGGATGCTGCAGAAGGACTGCCAGGCTTGTTTGGCCATTGAGCCCCCCTTCCTCCTTTTCTATGTGGGCATCAACAGTAGGGTCAGGGTGATTGCAGAACTCTAGGGGTATGGTCAAGGGCAGGAAGCCCAGATGGTGTCTCCTCAGTCCTTCCAGTGAGAGGGAAAGCTTTGAGCAGAACTGAATTAATCCAGCAGGTCAACACCTGTCTGAGCAGCTGATGTCACAGGCAGGGCTTTGGCCTCTATGATCTTGGGACCCTTTTTGAGAAACAGGGGGTACTGAGCAGGCATGGGATACATTTCACCAAGTGGGGTGAGAGCATCCTTGCAAACAGGCTTGCTAACCTGGTCCTTCTGCTCTGTGTAGAGGAGTGCCTTCAATACACAGGGGTCTGTCTTGGACAAATGATGAACCATTAGGAGAGCTTGTGAGTAGGCATCAGAGGACAGACCAATACAGTTGACAGTGCAGTAGGTGCTTGTTCCAGATCTTGTGATCAAGAAAGGGAAGCAGAAGAGACCTTCTTCAGGCAGCTTGGGAAAACCTCAAAGACACAGGCCTTGGTACTCAAGGGAAGTCGCCCTGGAGGGCAAAGTTCCTGGTTGATCTACAAAGACAACCTTCTCAGACCACAAGGAAGGTCGATTCTGGTGTGCAGAAAATTTGAGCAAATGTTCCAGGTGAGCATGGCAGGAAATGAAGCTTGAGTCTGAGCTCAGAGACAAAAGAGAAGTATGCAGAAAGCAGAAGAAGGAATTTGGGAGAAATACAGGGAGAAAATCTGCACATGCAGAAATGGAGTCAGGAAAGCAAAAGCTCAGCTGGAGTAGAGAGATTAGTGAGGGATGTGAACACAAGAAAGAATTCTATGAGTGCACTGGAAGCTCAAAAGAGGTTAAGGAGATTGCAGACCTGTTGGTCACTGAGTTGGGTGAACCTAGAGATAAGGGATATGGAAAAAGCTGAGGAATTTTGTAGCTTTTTAGCTCAGTTTTCACAGGTAGAGTTCACCTTCAGGTTTCCAAGATATCCCGATTTATAAAGCCTTAACTTAAAACATTGCTGAAGAAGAATCCAAGAGTCTCAGCAAATTCAGTTTATTGGTGTCAGACATGAAAAAATGTAATTGAAATTATGTTCCTCATGGTATTATCATTTGTGTGTTCCCAATGCAAATAGTTTCCTGGTTAGCTGTAACAATGTATGTTGGTCACAGTGTAGTATTAAAACAGTACAAGTTTATACCTGACAGTGGTAAAACAATAAATTTTGCAACACAGCAATTGTTGAATTTTGCCATAATTAAAAAGATGAACACTGCTAATGATTATTTTAAAAATGCTGGGCATTTCAGACTACATGTGAATTGAATACTCTATAAAACAAGTAATAGAAATCTAGAGGAAGCCTTCAATCAGCCACTAAGTGGCCAAATCTGATTGTAGTACAGAAAGGTTTTTCCTTTCTAGTCACTGTCTGCCACCCTGTGGAAATTTGGTGCAATTCTGACACAGTTACAGTAGTTCACTCTCGAGGCAGAACACTGCAATCTCACTCCTTCCCTCTTGCTGCAAATAAGATTTGTAAAGCCATGGCCTGAAGTTGACTTTCAGTAGCTTAAATGAGCCCCTCAGTAACCTGTGCTTATTCACACTGCCTTTCTGCTTTGTCTCACATATATTTTCCTTTTATTTAGCACTATACAGCTTCAGCTCTTGGAGCAAAGAATATGTTGCTTATATTTGATATCTGGATAAGCTATTTGCATTACGTATATTCATGAATTTCATTCACATCCATCAACTCCTACTTGTTAAGTGGATGCATGTTTCTTTGTCCAGTATTTACAGCTGAACTTTGCTCTTTCATAAAGATGCAGTCACCACTGGAAGGACTCTAAGTGAGGACAACTTCAACAGGTCTTAGTGAAAGAAGTGCCTTCTCTGCATTTTGTGGCAGCCACAGCTGTTATATGTTCAAATCTTGATTAACCATGTCCCACACAGTCATAGTCAACCAGTGTCTGCAGCAAAATCTCAGATGGGGGAACAGGGATAAACAAAAATTGGAACAGTATGGCATAGCAGAATGCCTGAAAAGCACAACCACAAAAGTATATAGTACTATGTCTATATAGTACTATGTCTGAGGAAGGCTACACCATACAAGAGACACTGAGTTTCTTTCTATCCATGTGTATTTCTAAATGCAAACATATGTATTAATGTTAAATGTAGTGAAGAAATCCCTCTTACCTTATACTTTATGTTGATTTCGTATTTAAAACACTTGTCTTTGTTAGAATGACTTATGGGGGGTCGTTGCCATTGAATTATGCAGTCGTTTTTAATTTCATCACAGTTGACAGTGATATTTGATGGAGGCATGAGCTTTTCTGAAATTATATAACCCCCCCCCAAATTTAAATTATTAAAATCACTTGATCTTTTTTTTCTTTGATGAAAGAGAGTTCAATTGCAAGTAACACTTCTATGAAGAAAGATACTAGTTTGTGTCTGTTTTTCTTAGGAATGCAGTTAGAAATAATTGAAAGACTCAAGTTCTGTAAGTCCTGTAGCTGGGATCAGAAAGAGCAGTGACTAAACCAGGGAACATGACTTAGAATTATCCAAATATGCATCCCCCTTCCATTTAATTTTCTAGGTTAATAAGGTAGAGTCCTGCCTTCTTTGTATAAGGTTGTTTTTTACTGCAGAAGAGCAAGCTGATGCCAACCCTAATATAATAAATCCAAAGGTGATTTCTTTCTTCAAGCCTCCTCACACAATACTTCTGTATCATGAAGGTGTCTCTAGCTTGATGCTGTGAACTTTGCGGTTCATTTCCCCCTTCCAAAAAAATTAGTCATAAAAATTTCAGCATTGCACTTCAGTTTTAAGAATCTGGCTAACTTCTTCACACATTTTCCCTAGACTAACAGATATGAGCAAAAATATGAGCACCTTTATATTTTGATCATTACCAAGACCTTGATGATTGTACCAGCAAAAGACAGCCACTCATGGCAGAAAAGGTGATAAAAGGCTGAGAGGGGAAACGTTAGTTTCAGCTAGACTGCTACTCTACAACAACATTTAGAGGCAGGCTTGGCCTATTTGTGATGGGCTATTTGGTAAGAGAACAGTCTTATTTCATCTGCTACGAGAGATATGACAGCTCAATTCTTTCTCCTTATAGAATTAAATGTTATTTGTCCATTTTTTGGAAGTAATACCAAAAACAGTGGGACTTTGTCAGACAGGTTGTGCCACAGGAAAAGTAAATTGCACAGGGCTGCTTCCAAGTAGATCATATGTGAAAAAGCTTATGAAAACCCTGGGTGTTTTGTACACATATTCATTTATTTAATCAAGAGTATGGCACTGATACACTGGCAAAGACAAGGAGAAATCAGTGCTCAGATAAACTTGTTCTGAAAAGAGTCCTCTGTTGAAAAGTCTGTGTTCATCATGGAAAGGGCAGCAGTGGGAAGAACAATCACTCTAAACCTGTGGATCTTGTTGTAGAAAGACCTAAAAACAGTAAGGGTAGATTGCTAAAGAATATGATGCTCTGGAGCTTTCTTGCTTAATTTCCCCTATTGGTCGTTTGATTAGTGAATAGATTTTCTTGAAGAGGCCACAGTGTCTTACTGTCAACTCAAGGTGACAGAGAGTGCTTGGTTCCTTCTCAGGAATAAATGCTCTACTACTCATGCAATAATGAAAATAAAGCTGAAAGAAATTATTGACTTACCAATTTCATACAGTTGAATGTACTCATCATAGAACTGGATCAGGGAGTCTTCGCTAGATCCATTCACCAGGAAGTAAGCTCTTTCAGTATCTATCTTCACATTTTGAAATCTACATCCTGTGTTTCTGCCAGTTTCGTCTTTCATGTAAAGCTCACACTCCACTGCATCACCATCGTGTCTGTATTTAGCAAGTATTTCAGTTAAACATGGGCAGTGTGATGTGTCAAATGAGCATACAGACTTCCCTAGACTCAAGCAGACTTGCTTACCTTGAGTTCTGCCAGTAGAGAAAGTATTGGGTGTCTTCTGGAGCATCCCTGCCTGCCTGCCAAGTGCAGTTCATGAGGGAAACATTATAAATCACACAGGAGAAATTTTCAATGGCCGACCCATTCATGCCTGCAAACACAGGAATATCCACAATGAGGAAAAATTGTGTGGCTGCTCCAGGCTGGAGGATCTTGGCACATGCTTAGATATTTTAGACATCTGCAACTCCATCTAGCTGTTGCTTAGGTTGGAAATTACTTGCTTCACTTTAGGTAGTAACATTGGAATATACTTGCTCTGACAGGTTGAGAGGAATTTTTCATCTACAAATCCTCCGAAGATATGATTATAGCTGCGTCTGATAGATTAAGTCTCAGGGGAGCCTACACTGCTTTGAATTATTCCTATTCAAAAGGAAACACTGGTATCACAATGCCACAAAAGGAAACATTAGTTGTTTATGCTCTGCAGTGATACCTTAGTCCACCTGGGATTAACATGAGGAAACTTCTGATTACAAATATATCAATTTACTCCTTAATCCCCACCCTCCAAAAAAACACAATAAGGAGTTTAAACATGCCTTTTAAAAGGAGGGATTACTTATCCATCCTTTTAAAAAGAATCAGCAAATCACTTTGAGCTTGATGAGGCAGGAAGTATTGCTGTTTTGTATATGACAGCTCCAGACTGATTAAATGAACAGATTTTTTACCTCATTCTCTTAACAGTCTCAATGTATATTACTCCTCTCACACAAAGAAAAGTAAATTCTGTCTGACTTTTTATTACGGTGGGTGAGATACTGCAAATTGTTGGGCATTGCACCATGAACAAAATTCAGTGACAAAATTCAAGGTGTCACACATTTTTCATGATTTTCCCAAGATGTCACCGATGTTCTTGATTTCAAAACTGCAGCTGCAAACCTATTTCACTTGGATTTTAATCACATTTTAAAGACATTCAAATGCAGTTAATAGAATATTAGCAACAACAATTTAAAGAGAATTGGCAATTAAAAAGATGGCATGAAGCAAGGTGACAACTAGTGCTAGGAAAATTCTGAACTGCTGAAATAGTTTTAGGAAACTTTTTTTTTCACAGAAACATCGTCACAAAGCTGTGAACAAGAGCCTCGTCATCCTACAGGAAATAGATGAATTAACAAGTGAAGGGTTTCAGTTTTTATTTTGCTCCCAAGTGATTGGAAGTAAACAAATCCTTTTCTGAAGTCTAGTGCATTACCTTGAGGAATATATCTGCATATGCTTGAGTATGTGCCATTCACGTTCACTGCTGTAACAGAAAAACTGACCCCATTGTGTAGAGCAGGTGCTATATTTCCAAACATGCACTTCATATTCTCTGCCTGAAAAATGTCATGCAGAAGGTTTAATTTTTAGTTTGTCATCTATTGGGTTACACAGTGCTGTTCCCTGCAGAAAGACCTTAAGCTTGTTCTTGATTTGTAACAGTGGGACCTCTGAATTAGTGAATTAGGTGCTGATGTCTTCCCAGGCTCAAGAACAACTCTCAGCATTTTTGCGTAATGAACCTTAACCAGTGCAAAGTTCAGTGCTTTCTGCAAGACAATCTCATTACAGTGTCAGGAATAGCAGTTCCTCTCTTCCTTCTACCCATAGTTCACCACAGTCCACCAAATCAGTTGAACTCCCTCAAAATAGAGCATATGTGCTTCCCTGAGAATCAACAGATGGCTGCACTTCACACTCCTTTGAAAGACAAAGGGAGATAATGCCTGGACAAGGACCTGGCTGGAGGTTCATCTCCACTAACATTAGCTTTCTAGAAACTAGCATCTAATTTGGGCAAGTCATCTAAGTGCCTTGTCAATGCAGTGGTGAAGGAAGACACAGTGGCATATCAGATGGGTGGGAGACACTGCCTTCAGGCAGACCTTGTACCTCTCTATTAACTCCTCTCAGAGCTTAGGGGACTAGTGATTTCCATGCTTAGCTGAAATGAGAGTGACATGAATCTACTCAGATCTGTGATTACTGATACAGATGATATAACTGAATGGGGTATCAGAGGAGTTTGCAGATTTCAGAATTTTCTAGAAACTGCCTATAGAAACATTGTTTACCATAGCTGTACGATGCATCTTGCTTGACACAGTATTGTAATGTAAAATGCTCCCTCTCTATTAATGCATTTTGGAAATTGCCTACCCAATCAGATGCACAAGAAATATTGGCCAAATTGATGGAGACAGCTTTGGACTCTAGAGGAAGAAAACTCAGCTAAGGCAGGAATAATACATATACAGGGAAAAGAGTAATCTCTAGAAGGCAGCTTCATGACTTGCTTTGAATTAGTTGTGCGACTTGTAGAGGACAGCGAAAGACAAATCTGTTTTGCTTGACAAACATAGCAGTTGCAAAATAGGAAGTGTTTAGCTTGCTGACTTCTCTTCATAAGAACTGAAGGCAGACTAACCCGAAGAAGAAGTGTTCATAGTCATGACACTTCTCAAGCAATACATGTATACAAAATCTGAGTTCTAGATCTTACATCTGTTATCAAAAATTTGGGTCCAAATTGAAGCTGAAGTTTGCATCTGATCTGGAGCTAAATTTGGCAAGGAATGTGTACAATAATAATACAGGCTATCATGTGTAAGTTGGTCAGTAAACAAAGTGTAGTGCCTTTAATAAATAAGACAGGAGAACTAGTGACAACTGAGATGGAGAAGGCTTAGGTACTCAGCAAATATTTGCCTCAACATTTACTGGCTATCACCCTTCCCATATCTCTCAAATCCCTGAATCTCAAGGCAGGGATTGGAGGAATGGAATCCCTCCCATCATAAAAGAAGATTAGGTTTGAGACCACTTGAAGAACCTGAGCATATGTAGGTCCATGGGTCCCAATGAGTTGCATACTAAGGTCCTGAGGGAACTGACTAATGTAGTTGCCAAGCCAGCCTCCATCATATTTAAAAGTCATGGCTCTTTGATTGATTCCTTTGATAATGGAATGACTGCAACAGTTGATAAGGGAAGAACAATAGATATCTACCTGGCTATCTGTAAGATCTTTGGCATGGTGTCACACAACATTCTTGCTTCTAAAATAGAGAGGTAGGAGTTTGACAGATAGACTGTTAGATGACAAGAAATTTTCTGGATGAGCACAACCAGAGACTTAACTTAGTCAATGGCTCAATGTTCAAATGGAACCAGTAACAAGTCAAGTCCTTCAAGGGCCCGTGCTGGAACAAGTACAATTGAAAGTCTTCATTAATGACATAGAGAGTGGGATTGAGCACACACTGAAGAAGCCTGTGGATGACAGCAAGCTGAATGAGGATCTTGACAAGCTTGAGGGGTGGGCCCATGTGAACTTCATGAAGTTCAACAAGGCCAAGTACAAGGTCCTACAGCTGGATCAGGGCAACCCCAACATAAGTAAAGACTGGGGATGAATGGATTTGAAGCAGCCCTGTGGAGAAAGACTTAAGAGTACTGGTGGACATGAGCAATGTACACTCACAACCCAGAAAGCCAATCACATCTTGGGCTCAATAGAAAGAACAGTGGTCAGCAAGTCGAGGGAGGTGATTCTCTCCCTCTACTGTGCTCTGCTGAGACCCTACCTGAAGTACTGCATCCAGCTCTGGGTTCTGCAGAACAAGAAATACATGGATCCATTGGAGCAGGTCTGGAGGAAGGTCACAAGAGTGATCAGAGAGCTGGAACATTTCTCCTCTGAAGAAAGGCTGAGAGAGTTGGAGTGTTCAGTTTAGAGAAAGACAATCTCTGAGGAGACTTTTCTGGCCTTTCAATATATAAAGGGAGCTTGAAAAAAGGACATAGAGACTTTACCAAGGCCTATAGTGACAAAGCAAGGGGCAATGTTTTTAAATGGAAAGAGGGTGGATTTAGATTGGAAGTAAGGAAGACATTTTTTATGATGAGGGTGATAGAATAGGTTGTCTAATGAAGCTGTGGATGCCCTTTCCCTGGAAGTGTTCAAGGTCAGGTTGGATGGGTCTTTGAGCATAGTGATCCAGTGGGAGGTGTCCCTTGTCATGGCAAGGGGCTTGAACTAGATGGTCTTTAAAAGTTCCCTTCCAATCCAAACCCTTCTTTGTATGAACCTACTTGGTTCTCAGGAGCTACTCCAGAAATACTGTGTCTTCATAGTTTCTTTGTCACACCAATCAGCCCTGAGCAGGCACATCACTGCGTGTCTCTGTCCCTGAATGCTTATGTCTTATTTTTAGGTAAGTCAGTAAGGATTCATGTATCTAACTAATTCAGTCTCTACATCTCATCTGCACAGCATGGAATGTCTCTTGCCAAAGTTCCTCTGAAACCAGGAAAAGAGACAATCTTACACTTCAGTCCCAACAAGGTCCTAATTCCACGAGAGTCCCCTGAAGGTAAGAACTTCACAAGAGTGGCCAGACAGGACATACACATCTCAGGACCAACACAGGTCTAGAAAGGACTGCTAAAACACTCTCTGTTTCCTATCAAGGATACTTTTTTCCCTGACTTAAGGATATGAAGAAATAGGAGGAAGTGTAATAATTAATCTCCGTTAAACTTTACATAGCAAATTTACCATTATAGTCTCAGTAAAATCTTCTGTGGTCACTGAACACCAGTTCTCAGTGAAGTTCATGCTGCTTATCCAACTCAGTTCCATTTTCCACTGATTCAGCTTTAAATTTGTAATAGGTGAGTCTGGCATCTCTGCTGGAAGTGTCACATAAGAGGATCAGTAAGGTGCAGGACTGATTCCCAGAGTTTTGGGTACAGGGGTTGCTACTGAGCGTATCTAAGACAGAAGGAAACTTAAGCACAACTACCCATAATGAGGAAAGCACATTGCACTCCACTTCAGAAGATTGCCCCATAAAAGTGTTGTACTCACAGTCTGAGCAGTGCCAGCCAACACACAAGTGGGAGATCAACAGCATCCACTGGGTCATGAAGATGAGCTCAAGAGGAGAAACCATCTCTTCCTCCTTGGAGATAGAGATCAATGACACTTGCTCAAGGTGAAAGATGCCAGTGTGAACCACTCTCTTCTAGTTTAGCCTGACCTGCTCATGTGCCTGCTTCTGCACCATCTGATTATCTGTCAGTTCTAGTGGGATGAAAGATCAGATAGACTTCTTAAGCAGCCAGAGAAACGTTGAAATAAACAGTAGCAACATTAAAGCAGCTGCCTTTTCTGTAACAAAACAATTTGTGTGATGATTTGTAAAGCTCAGCTGATCTCAGAAGCACTGTACAAGTGTTACATACATTCATTTGGTGACTGCTGTGTTAAGATCCAAAGATTATTTATCTATCTGCTATATACAAAGGTTAGGGTTAATAGATACCAAGCAGGTGGTTAAACAGCTTCCAACAGAAAATATCAAAATGGGTCCCAGCAGTATCGATTAGCTAAAGTTGCCCAATGGTGATTATGTAAATTGGGGAGGGCATTAGTCCATCTACGTTTGAAGATGTTTTTGAGTATAAGCTTAAAAGTGGATCTAAGAGCTGTGCCTAACTGCTACTAATTCGGTATCAAATCCAGCAGGAAAACCAAAACTGTGGTGAGAGCCTTTCTTAGCAGGCAGGTACTTCATTCTGAAAAAAAAAATCATTCAACTCAGCTCCATGTACTCCGCTGACAGCTTGTTAGATTTTTCCTGGGACATCACCCTTCCAGCTCTGGACTTCTCAGAGCCTCAGTGAATACCTCAGCAAGCAAACAGGAAGACAAAGATGGACCTACCTTCTACTTCTAAACGTCTTTCCCTCATTTATATTTCTGTCAGTCTTCAGTCTCAGAGAAGATGGAAAGGCTTGTGTTTTAAATGGTCATGTAGCTATAAATAGGGCTTGCTCCCTTGTCCTTGCTGCTTATGTTTTAGGGAACTGTTGTACCATCGGAAGTGTTGCAAGATATAATGCTCATCACTTCCCTCCTGATTCTTACTAAATTCATGTAATTGCACAATTCATCTAAGTGACAAGCAATTAACTGGTTAAATTTTCCTTTTTCTTGTGCAGAGTCCACTGGTGCTTGGGAATCCAGCAAGTGCATACAATTCTTTTATTTTACAGGTATTCTCTCTAGCTCCAAGGAATACTGTGTAGTACAAAGCACCTCTCAATATAAGCCTTTTTCAGGGGTTAGGAGCAGTGGGGGTTCTCCATGGTGGGGCAGGGCAGCCAGGGCCCATCCCACCACCAGCCAGGAGCAGGGTAGCTGAGGGCTTCCAGGGCAGCTCTAGCCCTGGGCATTGGGCACCTCCTTAGGGACCAAGGCCAGGCCAGGACAGAGGTACCTGAAGAGGATATAAGAGGGTATAAGGTACCTCTTATACCCTAAAACATTTTGCTTTACAGAAGACAATGTAATTTACTTAATATGGAGATCTATAATTCATGTAAAGTAATTTCATTTCTTCAAATGTTTAAATTTAAAACAGTAGAAAACGTGTGGTGGGTTGACCCTGGCTGTACACAAGGTGCCCACCAAAGCTGCTCTATTTCTCTGTCTCCTCAGATGAACAGGGGAGAGAAAATATAGTGGAAGGCTGGTGGCCCTAGATGAGGACAGGGAGATCACTCAGCAGTTACAGTCATGGACAAAGAGACTTGAGTTGGGGAAGTTAGTATGATTTACCACCAATCAAATCTGAGTAGGATAATGAGAAATAAACTCAACTCTTAAAAACACCTCCCTTCTTTCTGGGTTCAACTGCACTCACTGTTTTCTCCATCCCCTCTCCCCAAGCAGTGCAGAGGAAGGGGGCTGGGGATTGTGGTCATCACATGTGGTTATCTCTGCTGCTCCTTCCTCCTCAGGCAGAGGACTTTTCACACTCTTCCTCTGCTCCAATGTGGGGTCCCTCCCATGGGAGACAGTCCTCTATTAACTTCTTCAATGTGAATCCTTCCCAGAGGCTGAACTTCTTAATGGACTTCAGTGTGGGTCTGTTCCACGGGATGCAGTCCTTCAGAGACAGCATGGGTCTACCACAGGGTCACAAGTCCTGTCAGCAACACAGCTCCAGCATGGGCTCCTCTCTTCATTGGTCCACAGGTCCTGCTAGGAACCTGCTTCAGTGTGGGCTTCACATGGGGTCATAGCCTCCTTTGGGCATCCACCTGCTCCAGTGCAGGGCTCTCTATTGGCTGCAGGTGGATACCTGCTCCACCATGGACCTCCATGGGCTCCTGGGGGACAGGCTGCCTCACTGTGACCTTCACCATGGCCTGCAAGGGAATCTTTGCTCTTGCACCTGGAGCACCTCCTCCCCCTCCCTTTTCACTGACCTTGATGTCTGCAGGGTTGTTTCTCTCACATCTTTTCCTTTGGCTCCAGTTGTGCAGTTTTCTTTTTCCTCTTCTTATTGAGCAGGGCCTGAACTGAAAAGCAATGCATTAAGTGACACCCTATGGATGTGTTAATGCATTTGATCATGTCTGTCACTTGCTTGATATTGACTGAAGAGACAAACAAACCACTTTGAGCATCCTGAACTTAAAAAAAACCTCCAGTCATCCCTAGAAACAGTAATAATGAGAGAATCAACAGAGACTTGCATAGTCTTTTGTGGTTTCAGAGGGAAAGGTCTAAAATAATAGTGGCTTTATAAGGACCAATTCATGGGAGTTCACTTTTGTTGTATGTTAGCAGAGAATAAAAATGTGACAAAGTTTTTCTGAAGTATAATTAAGAAGCAAACATTGGGATTGAGGAGCAAATATGAATAGATGTATGTTTTACCAGAAAGTAGATTTAGTCATAGAAGCAGTTCTTTTTGATAATAATCACTATCACTATCCCTATCACATGAAAGGTGTCAACAGACAAACTGAAAGTTTACATTTCAGGCATTCAGAGGAAATAGTCCATTGTTAGAAGTTTCACTCCACTTTCAGATTAAAGGAACTCTCTATTTATCCATGTAGGTGTTTTTTTAACGCTTACTGGTGGAAGCAAAGATGGAAGAAAGGACTTCTGATCACAAAGAATGAAAAAAAACACCTTAATTTTGTTGCATCTTTGGAAGGAAAGCACAAGATTTTGTGGTAGTAACAGACGACCACAAATGTAGCATTACTACTTTCATGGAGAAGTGAGAGGTGAAGGGGGAAGTGCCTACAGTAATAAAAACAGAGCCATAAGAAATGTCACAGAGAATCAAATGGGGATCTGGAAAATGAAGGAAGACAGAGTTTCAGTGCATCTTCCTTTCTCCTGTCCCCCAGTTTTTCACCTCCCTTGGTGGCTCATGTCCAGCTTTTGATCCACTAGTACCCCCAGGTCCTTTTCCACAGGGCTGCTCTCACGTGTTCCCTCCCCCAGCCTGTATTCATATCTTGGGTTACCTGGGCCCAGGTGCAGGACCCTGCACTTGGCCTTGTTGAACCTCATGAGGTTCACCTGGGCCCACTTCTCTAGCTTGTCCAGGTCCCTCTGGATGGCATCCTGTCCCTCTGGCATATCGACTGCACCACCCAGCTTGGTGTCATCAGCAAACTTGCTGAGGGTGCTCTCAGTGCCACCGTCAATGTCGTTAATGAAGATACTGAACAACACTGGGCCCAGCACTGACCCCTGAGGGACACCCCTTGACACTGTTTTCCATCTGGACTTAGAGCCATTGACCACCACCTTCTGGATACGACCATCCAGCCAGTTCCTTATTCACTGAGCAGTCCACCCATCAAACCCATATCTCGCCAATTTAGCGAGAAGGATGCCACCCCTATGCTGGGTTTTCTTTCCCCAGGTGAACTCTCAATTGCATGACTACTTGTGCACCCCTGGCAAAGCCCCATGCTCCTGCCTGTACAGCAGGCAGTAGATGAGCAGGGTGTTCTCTGGTGCTCTCTCAGATGATGCACTGCTATAACACCATGAGGAAGTCTGGGTCTTGAGGTTTGGTGTAATTTTATTTTAAAATTGGAATATATTACAGCACAACAATCCAAACAGCCCACAAGGACAGTGGTGTTACTGCAGAGGAATTGTCCTACCTAGAGGGTTTCTTTGCTTGCCTATATTAGGGCAAGACTTCACCTGGGGCTTTCAAAAAATGCAAACAAATTAAAAAAACCTGAAAATAGCCAAGCTAAGCAGATGCTATTGATTGATGGTTCTACCAAGATCTGTTATCTTTTAGAAAGTCATAAAGACTGTGTCAAGTAACCTGGCTATGATCCCGGAGCTGGAAGAGAAATGAAAAGAACTGAAAGAAGAAGAGAGAGAGAAGACAGAGATTGTGTGAGACACTAGGGTTGTTTACAGAGTTTTGGCTCTACAGGAAGTAGAGTCACTACAGGAACGGGACTAAACCAAATATTTATTTAAGTCCCAAAAGCTTGGAGAATAGTTTATTGCTCTACTCTACTCTACTCTACTCTACTCTACTGTACTCTACTCTACTCTATACTCTGCTGTACTCTCCTCTGCTCTTCTATTAATGTCCTCTGCTGCATGAGCCCCGTGTTGCTCAGTTGCTCAGTGCTCAAATGTTGCTCAGTGGAGCTCAGTTTGCAGTATAGGATGGCTCAAGGCCATCAGTACCAACTGTCTAACAGTACTCATTTTGTATGAGCAAATGATAATTTTTAAGAGGTTTGATCTTGACTGGTTTTCAGTGAATTTTCATACAGAAGACAAATTTTTACTCCTGATCTAATCTCACCATGACTATACCTTTTCCAAGGCTTTGGACCAGTGCAGATCCTGAACCCCTTAAGTGTGATTGTTCTTTTTTTTTTTTTGCATGATATTAAAAAATAGCATAAGAACTTCTGAAGCACAGTTTTGCTGAAACATCACAAGAATAATCACCATAATAAAATACAAGAAGTTTTAAAATACAGGCTTTGGAGGAATTTTCTCTCCAGGCAATGTTATTATCTCTGCTTGCAAGAAGGAGACAATATGAAAAACCTGTAAATTGCTGCCAACAAGGTATATATGTTTGAAAAAATTCAA